TATTTTGGTTTTTATCATTTTTCAATGATGAAACTAAACGATTGATGAATTTATTGATCATGTTTGTCTAATAGAATGAAGTATCCTTTTGGTGTATGCTGCCCCCCCCCACTTCAATGTTGAAGTGGTGGTGATCATTATGTTCAATGATTCAATTCATTATAGTTATAAATGAATTTTTGTTACAATTTTTGTGTTTTTTTTATATAAAAAAAAGACACCATCTTTTATTGTTGTCCTTCTCTCTCTCTCTCTCTCTCTCTCTCTCTCTCTCTCTCTTATACATGCTACATATCTATCTTTCAATCAAAGTCGAAATAGAGTAAGAGGATCATGTTACATGGTTGTTTCTATATCTCAATGTTCTTATTGTGTAGGCTCAACAATAGTCACATCAGATTCATGTTTGTTAAAAAGTTGTTTGTATAGAAAAGAAAGTCAGCCAAAATCAACTTGAAAACATTCATTTATATTCTCATAAAAGTGGAATTTTTTTTATTACGCAGTTCATTTGATATTACTAAACCATCATAACTTACGATATAATTTATATAAAAATGTAATTGGTATATACATATATCTATGCGAGTGTAAGTCCTGATCGATTTGAGACTTGTGTTACTTTTTTTTTCCAATCACCACTTACCATTGTATATGTAATGTTATCAAGCACACAAACAATATTAAATGAATCTTCAAACAAAATATGGAAAGCAATGACCAGTAGAGTTCAAACAAGTCTGTTGTAGAGATATCAATTCACTGAAGATAATTGGTGAACGGTTTCTCAAATATCGTGGATTAGTTGAAGTTAGACATGAACAGTGTTGGATGACGGCCGACTCAGTGGTCTATCGGTTAAGTACTCTGGCGCGAGACCGGTAGGTCCTGGGTTCGAATCTCGCGAGTGCGGGATCATGAATGCGTACTGCTGAGGAGTCCCGTAATAGGACGAAACTGCCATCCAGTGCTTCCAGGTTTTCCATGGTGGTCTAGCTTCAGTTAACTCATGATTTCAACTATGAAAATACTACAATCTCCACAAAACCCCTTCTGATCTAAAATAAATTTGTACTAACAATTTTTCCCGATAACTTCTTCAGTTATAAATCCATGATTATGATCATAATGATCATAGTATGGCGTACATAAATAAGTAAATCAAACAGTTATTAATAAGTCATGCTACCGCAATTCCTTTATTGCCTTCCTAGTCAGTTCCTATAACTCCAATTACTTAGGCGCGTCAACTGGAACTCTAGAGAGAAAGGTGGGCATCTCCAGTAAAAGTTTTACTCCCAAGGTGATTCATGACCAGAAAAATGAGCGTATTTACTGAGTTGCACACAATCTTGAGTTCCTGCAATCATACCAAATACAATAGTAATATGGTTAATTATCCAATAAAATCTGTGGCTCATGACTCTACATTCTCTAGATGTTTCTCTTGAGCTTCTGTTCGGTGTTGATGGGATGAAATGTTTCTTGGAGTTTTTGTGCCACTAGAAATTTTGACTAAGTAGTCCTCCAACAGTTCGTTGTCAAAACAATGATGAACTTTTGCATCGATTATGGTCTAAATATTTACTTTATCTTGGTCGTTATAATACAAGGATTATAGACTTATAATTGTTGAGTCGAGAAGCAGAAGTTATCGAAAACGATTGTCCACTCAATTATTTTTTTGTTTTATGCGTTTTTATATAATCTTATCCTGGAACGTCTACACAACGTTGGGTAAAACAAAATCGACTTCATATTATTGTTTATATACTGATGATTTTATAATTCAGTAGGCATATCAACTTCATAAGAATGATCAACGCCTTATTTTAATGTTTTTGTTGAATATGAGACGTGAAATTACGTTGTTATTGCTAGTCTTAAGGAATGTAAAAATAATTCAATAAGGATATTCAGAAAAGCCTCCAAATGCCCTGGTACGGCCGAGAGTGGGGAGAGTGAGCTCTCCCTCTCTCGAAATGCTTTCACATGTCAACGCGTATATAGTCTCTGACAGGGAAGTCCTACTCACTGTCTTTTTGTGGCGGGATGGGGTGTTGTTTACGAAAGTGAGAGGACGAAAAGCGAATGTCCAGCGCTTTAACCGGGTTGGTGGACATGGAGGATCCAACTAGGGAAGTTGGAAAACCCTGATTCCAAACCAACGGTGAACATTGGCTGCAGGATCCTAAGGGAACAACTGGATTATGAATCAATCGTTGATCACCGACTACCATGAAACTGCATCTCCTTACGATGTTCTGCTGCCTTGTGGATCAGATCTTTAGGTCAAAGGCTCCGGTTATGCCGCCCCCCAAGGAAACCACCTGCTTCAGTTTGGGCACCTGTGTAGTATCACAGCGCATATGTATCTGGTGCTTCCTTGTACCAATATTTATCTGTTTAAATAAATAATAATTCAGAAAAGACATATTTTAACCAGCCGTAGGATCCAAGACACATTTCATTCCGTTTGTGACTTATCATCATGTACGTGCATCAGAAAGGGTACATACATTTTCATTTTATTGCCACCCAATTATTTTAATGTGGTTTATCGTGCCTTTTTTTAAAGAAAGTAATTCTTCAAATTTATGACACCATCATCCACTCTCTTATTAACCCCTAAACAAATGAAGAAGTCTATAGTGTTGATAACTAGTACTGACCTTTATTTATCTGAGTGTGTGTGTGTGTGAATTCTCATTAAATCGATTTTCAACTTCATCCTTTCCAACACCATCCCGCATACACACGTTTCTTTCATTCATTCATTCATTCGCTGTGGAAATTCATGAATAATCTAGTGAATGGTGTTTCATGTTTTGTGTATAAGTGATGTTTCTATAGACAATGAACATGACCACACACACATGTGAATATCTAAATAAAGAAAAATGATGCTGGTGCTAGAGAACAACAAATAACCTTAACCTCTGACTAAGTGTTCATCTAAGATACACATTAAATGACCTAAATGTTTACATGCACAACATTGTTATGTTGTAAGTGGTCTACTTTATAGAATTGACCAGCATGTTTGTTTTGATGTTCTATGTGTATATATAATCATAATGTTTTTGTAACAGGATGTGTGCAATGTACATAAATGGATAAGTTTACGGTAAGAAAAAAAGATAGAAAGTAAATAACTCTGTTACCATGTGAATACAATCTGCTTAAACTGGTGATACATTCTTAGTACTGGTTGACATCAGTGGTTTAAATGTAATCAAATAAAATACTGGAATTGATAATCGTTTACATGTAGGTGCTTATAAGCTTAGTGGCTGAACTATTATAATAAAGGCAAAAGTAATAAAACATGTTGCATTACTCATCTTTGACTTGTATAATAAATTGATTTAATATCATAAAATGATCTAGTCAATAGTTGTAATAATTGGAGCGGTGCTCGAGTGATCAAGGTGTTTGACTTTCAGCCACGAAATCCAAATTTTGAACTTTGCTTCATCTACTTGCGTTTGGACAAATAGATAGTATCATTAACCCTCACACTTCGAGTTTAACCTACACCAAAGCACCCGGTGAATTAGTGGATTTTTAAAAAGCTATACTGAACAACCTATCATAGATAGAAGTTGAAAAAGCTATCGGAAATCTGAAGCGAGGGAGAGCCGCAGGCCCTGACAGGTTTACCCCTGAGTTTTTAAGCATGGTGGTCCAGTAATAGCAACGAGACTGACTCAGGTCTTGAGTAGAATCTGGGAGCTAGACATAATTCCATCTGACTGGTCCCAATCACTGATTGTGCAGCAGTCCGTTCCGTCCTACTTTACGGCAGTGAAACATGGCCGATAAGAGTAGAGGATATTCGTAGGCTACTAGTGTTCGATCATAGGTGTCTTCGACGCATTGCTCGTATATCCTGGGACCACCGGGTAAGTAATGCAGTTGTTAGGAAACGAGTACTAGGTAGGGATGGCAAATCGATTGATGAAGTAGTGAAACTTCATCAGTTAAGATGGCTGGGACATGTGTTACGTATGCCGGACCACCGACTGCCCCGACGTGCAATGTTTCATGGTGTAGGAGTAGGTTGGAAGAAAGCTAGGGTTGGCCAGACCAAAACGTGGCACAAATCAATGAAGTCATTGACAAGTGGACTGGGCCATGTTGGTAGGTGTAGACTACCTGGTTGGGATTCGCGAGATGACAGCAACCGATGGTTAGAGACCTTGAATGACATGGCTCAAAATCGTTTGCAATGGCGAAGGTGCATCCACTCTTAGTGTTCTACCAAATTCTAATCTTCTGAATTCCTCATGTCTTTATCTTTTTCTCTTTCCAAATTTATTTCACTGTACTATACTCCTTCAATAATTTCTTCAAACCCTAATCTTTTGGATTTCTGATTATACTCCTACTACTTCTACCACTATAGGATTTGAATCGACAACTGCATCTCTGTGCTAATGTGGTATGGCAACTCGAACTGATGTACGTACGTACGAAGTTCTACGTTGTAAGTGATTGACTTATTGAGATCCTTCAACTTTTAAGGTAGAGTTTAAATGGTCTAAATTGTTTATTCAAGTTAGCGTTTTTGAGCAAGGTAGTTTTTTAAGTGATGGGCTTGCTGACCTCATGCCAAAGCCTCCTTCGTTATTTGGACTTGGAAACGGCGGCGAACCTAGTTTGGGTACAGGTTGAGTCGCAGTGAAATGGAAGCCTGTCTATATGCCCTCCCAGTTGGTCGTTTTCTACTTTAATGAGAAAAATGTCACTTAATATGGGATGTAGTGGTGAACCTATGGTGACATCATCTGTTTGTATATATATTTTACCGTTGAATTTGAATCTTATATGCATAGCACATTTTATTAATAATTTGCTGATGATACTCACAATAATTGTAGTCTCTATTTTTGGATGATTAATTTGGATGTCTTATTGTAGAAGCTGTATTTTATTAGAATAACTAAAATGGCTGTTACTTATAACAATTACTCACTATATTTTAAAACTTTATTCAGCTACAATTCGTCGACGATTCAATAAGCCAGCAGCAGCTGTACGGGCTCGTATGGCACAGAAATGTAAAGATGAACGACGTTTTGGTCGTATACCTAATTCCAATATAAATTCATGTATAGATGGTAATTCTGATTGTAATAATACACCATCACCAGTTGCTGCTATTTCATCTAGTCGATCAGGTACAAGAAAAAGTCGTAAACGACCAGCTAATTCAACTTCAACATCTTCATCTCATTCATTAAATGGTATAAAACAATCATGTACAACAAATTATAATATTTATCAAATGAATATTATCAATGATGATGGTTGTTCCTCGACAACAGATTCTAATCAACTTCCACCAATCAATTTATCACCTAATGGTATGAGCTTAATTGGTATCGGTGATGATGTTAACGGGGAATTTGATTCTATACTACAAACATCTCTAGATGATTCATTTACATCATTAGATCATCAATCTGATATTGTAAACTATTCTCAAGTTTATCCACTTGTTAATCATATCACAACCATTCCATCATCAACAATAAATACAATGACCAATGGAATAAATAATATCAATGGTTCATGTAATCTGTCTAATTCATCATGTATATCAATATTTTCTAATGATCCATAGGTGCACATCTTATGGTTATCAATTCTTCAGAAAAAAAAGGGGGGGTATGATGTTTCATTCAACTAATCAAATAACAACTATCCTACATTCATTTAGTTACCTGGTAATATTATTTTTTCAATCTCTTCATCGGTAATTCGGTTGTGCTGTTGTATTAGCCTTCAATTTTCATTTTATTTATTTTTCTTGTATTTTTTCTAAATGTATTATTATTGAATAGGTGACTTTTTTTCTTCAGATATGAAAGAGATGAAGAAGAGGAAGAGTAAAGTATGGTAGAGTAGGAACCTTGAAGACCAATTCATTGAATCAATGTCTACACCTACACTAGAGAAGTAGTAATGGTCGTCGTTGTTGTTGTTCTTGTTGTTACTGCCGCTGATGTTTTTTCCTCTGTAAAATCTAAATTATATCTATATTTTTGATATTTTTTGATCAATTATACAGTTGAATTATTTCATTTATAGAAATATATTTTAGATATGTATTATTAGATGATAATGTAATTCACATACTATTGTGCCTAAACTCTCACTTTCACCCCCTTGTGTCTCTCTCTCTCTCTCTGTGTGTGTGTATTTTCCTGTTTTGTATAAATCATATTTAACTTATCATTAATAATGTAAAGTATTGATTGATTAATTAAAAGAAGGTCAGTAATCCTGATCACAATAATCCGGTCAATGTTTATTTTTATCTAAGCAAAAAGAACAAACAAACAAAAGAAAAATGATCAATCTTGATTTTATTGTCTTCCTTCTATTTTTTTTTTTGTGGTTTCTATTCATTGTATTCTGATCTACTTTCTAAATAAAGCGTTTTATCATTTCTATGTTAGTTGATTGGATTAGTCAGTCAGTTATAACGTAGGACCAGGCACATTTTTTGCATCTATTCAAGCTGATTGGATAATTGGTGACATATGTTGTTTTTGATGGTGATGATGTTGTTGCCGTTCTATCCTCCCTCTTTTTTTTTTGATAACATCATCAAAGTTCATTCCTTTTCGGTGATTTTGTGAATAATAATCATCATAATAATAAAGCTCAAAAGTAGAATAGGACAAAATAACTAAAGAATAAAGAATACCTATTCATATGTATCATTTTTAAAAAAAAAATTATTTTTCCCAATTTGTAATTGTTTACTTTAATTAATAGTATAAACATTAAATATTATTGATCATTAAAAGGATATTCCCCCTCCTTTTTTGTTTTGTTTTTCGGGCCTTTTGTTTGTCATTTATACATAAGTAAATTCTTTGTTTATTTATTGATTTATTTGTTTTGTTACTATGCTCCTATTAAAGTTTATTATTGAAAAAAAAATGTATGAATTTTATTTAGATGTTTCATTATTTTTAAAAAAAAAAATTACTAATTTTGGAATCTTTATCATGTTTACTATTTTAATAAATATGAATACTTACCGACTTACACCTGTTTCACCTCGTTAAGGAGCATAGGCCGCTCACCACCATTCTCTATCCAACTTTGTCATAGGTCTTCCTTACTACTTTTTTTCCAGTTAACATTCATCCTCTTCATATCCACTTCTGTTTCCCAAATATGAATATATATATATATATGGTATAGGTGTGATATATATACATGTGTGTGTGTGTGTATGTAGTTTCTTTATCTCCCCCCTATCATTTAATTCTGTTTTATTTATATTAAATTATAATGATAATGTATATCCTATTTATTTATTTATGATGGGTAATGGTTAATTCATTTCTACTATAGTAATAACATTCCTAATTTCCTAATATTGAAAAGGAAAAACCAAAACAAACACCTAGCAACAACAAAAATTTTTTTTTTACATATTTGTTTTTAATCTTTCAACTTTTTTCTCCTTGTTTTTTTCTTTATTTTTCTTTCTCTAATTGGGTTTTATTTCATTGTGATGATTGATTGTTTGTTATTCTCTATTATTATCCTTTATGAGTTTATCTACCTTGTTTTCTCTTTGTTTTCCTTTTATTTTTCTTCTATTTAAATCTATCTACTATTAGTATTATACATTCCCCTTAATTTATTCATATAAATAAATAGGTATTTATCATTGATTCATTCTTCATTGATAATATGTTCAATTTTTTGATGACATCTTCATTATGGATGTTCATTGATGTGAGCTTCTTCTTGGTCTTCTTTTGAAAGTAACATTGAATCCGGTGTATCTTTTTTTTTATTTATAAACTATCAAATACAATTACATCATTTAATAATAATCAATATTGTAATTATTATTATATGATTATGATTATTTGTGCTTTAATCAATTCCCATCTCCTCCCTCCGCCTCTCGTTTCTCTCTTATGTTTCTCTTCAATAAATCCTTATCTTTGATTTGTTTTAACGGGACTTGATGTTCTACATATTGTATTATTATACAATAGTTGCCTTCCATTTATAATTATAATTGCCTAACTCTTTTTTTTAACTTATATACATTGTGTATTTGTTCAATTTACATATAGAAACAAATCTGATTTAATTGATGAAACATATTCATTACTAAAAAAATACAACAAAAAAAAGAGAAGAATCTTGGTTACCATCATCGTATTAAAAAAAAGGTAAACATTCTTGGATTTCACCGTGGTTGTTGTTGCTGTGGTTATTTGTTTGTTTATCCTTTCTTTTTTCTTAAATTATTGGTCTACATTCATTTTAATGGAATATACAAACAAAATATGCATCAGTTAAAGAAAAATAATTTGATGTATCTTTTCTTAATTAAAAATTAATAATAATGAAATTTTTATTTTGTAATGGTTGTTTTTATTACAATTATGATGATGATTACTACTGATTTAGTTATGTGAAAATGAAAATAATATAGATGGATCTATGATATAACTGATAATATAGTCAATGAAGTAAAGATTACACGAGTGTTACAAAATAGAATAACTAGTTAGCTGATTTTATATAATAATGAAAAGCCCCCAAATGCCCTGGTACAGCTGAGGGTAGGGAGAGTTCGCTCTCTTTCTCTCTTCAAATGCCCTCACATAGCCACGCGTATATAGCCTCTGACAGGGAAGTTCTACTCGCTGCCTCTCCGTGGCATTACTTTTGTTTACGAAATTGAAAGGAGGAAAAGCAAATATCCGGCTTTTTAACAGGGTTCACAAATACAGAAGGTCCACCTAGGGGAGTTGGAAAATCCTGATTCCAAACCAATGGTACACATGGGCTCCAATATCCTAAGGAAACAAATAGCGTATGAACCAATCGTTGATCACCGGCTACCATGGGACTGCATCTCCTCACGATACTCCACTGTCTTATGGATCATATCTTTAGGTCAAAAGCTCCGGGTGTGGCCCCCTAAGGAAAACACCTGCTTCGGCTTGGGCACCCGAGCAGTATCACAGCCCTCACACAAATCAAATGAGACTTGTGTGTCGCATATGTATCTGGTGCCTCTTTGTACCAATATTTATGTTTAAATAAATAAATATAACGAAAACGATGCGCACTGCTGAGGAGTTCCACCATAGGAAGAGACGGCCGTCCGGTACTTCCAGGTTTTTCATAGTGGTCTAGCTTCAATTGACTATTGATTTCAACTATATAAAAAAATTGCTAAAATCTTTACAAAACCCACCTCCTGAAAATGAATAAATTTAAATTCATAGATTGTATTTGTTACAAATTTTTCTTAGGTTGGGTCATTATTATTATTATCATTATTGTCCACTGTTACAGTGTCCTATAATAGGATGAAGTAACTGATCAGTTCTTTCTGATTTTCATTAATATTTCAACTGAGATCATTGAAAATTAATTTCGTCTTTCTGTACGACCACTGTCTAGAAAAGAATTTCAATTTATTTAGCTTAAAAAACTAATATGCTTGATGCTATTACGATTTCTCCTTACTTGTTAAACGGAATGAAGGTCAATGAGACGATAGGCTATTCCAATCTATTGTTCCAGGCCTCGCTAACTAGAGTGAGAAGTCTGAGACAAAGTAGGAGAAAATATATTCCGGAATCACAAGCAATCACAATAGGAAGAAATCAAACGTATATATACAGCATAGAATTGTCCTTGGGAAGCAATACAAAATAGCACACTAAAAAGATACAACGGACCAATAGCGTTTAAGATATTTCCAAATGGGAAATACAAAAGTAGCCAAGTAAGTTCTGAGGATTTAACACCTAACTTTTTAAGTAACGAGCATTCTTGGGGTCCACATACATTTTGACTGTCCGTCGGCGTAGTGACATCCTTCTGGACCGTAAATCGACTTGTGCTTCTTCTTGTATTGGAACTACGGGCGGATTAAACGTAAATTCAATAATTTATTTGTCAATTTTTACTTGATACATCCATCTGTAACGTTTAATCATACTTCAGTAGGTTGGCGGGGTTAATGTTTACTCTTAAGTGTAGCCAGTTAAAATTCAAGACGCTTTAACTGTAATGAACAGAACACGACTGGGGACAATCGAATGTATCTAGGCAAAAATTACAGACTATCTCAGTAAATTATGAAAACCATACAATGGAAAGTCAATTTGCAAATTAACAACCAAGTTTCGATCTTCACTGTTTCTTCTTTAATTCCATTGCTCGTGCATTTTCCTACCGATTGCGCTTCGTTTCAGTTTTTTCCTTATCGGTCTTCTGCCAAAATACATTCTATGTCTGACCCACACCATATACTACTTATATGGATATAAGTAGACCACATAACTATTTAATCATTCTCTAAATAGGAATAGTCAATTAGAAAAGTATTTAACTAGAACGTTTTTATTTTACTCTTAACCTAATTTGAATATTGTTATAAAGGTAGTATACTTGTTGTAACGCTAGGGTTACTTGTTATAACAGTCCTTTCACTTTTTACACGTATGCGTAAGACGTTAATTTACCTTAGACGAATATCTACACTAGATTCTCACCCAGTGTCATGTATTCTACAGGACTTCAACACAACTCAGATCAAGAACACGAGATTAACCTGATTAGAACGGCAATATATTTCCGAAATCCAACAACAGTAACAGTGAATACATGATATGCTTGATGCTAATTCGATTTTTCTCGGTAAACGAACGAAGGTCAATGACACTGAAACGATAGGCTAATCTAATCTGTTGTCCCAGGGCGCGCTAACTATATGAAGAAGTCCAAGGCGAAGTAGGGTAAATATATTCCGTAAGCAGCGGAGTACAAGCAATCATAAGGGGAAAAACTCAACGTATATATACAGCTATAAATTGTCCTTGCTCAGCATCACAAAATAGCACACTCAAAGATACAACGGACCAATAGCATTTAAGATAATTTACAAGTGGGAAATTCGACTCGAAGGTGAAAAGAGCGCTTTTGGCACGACAACAAAAAAATTCAAAATAAAATTACAAAATTAAGCCCTTTACCAAGTAAGTTCTGGGGATTGAGCATCTCCAACAATATATATAACATCTGTCACACTATTCATAAATCTGACTCCGCAAAACAACTAATCATTCTCGCCCACACATCAAATATAACAACAACTCAAATCATATTCGGAGCGATCAGTATGTATAACTATAGATTTATATACCAATACTAGAAAGATAAACGTGTAAAGTATCTTCATAGCAATGAAAATATGAAGCCAATACAAAACTAGATAGTATATCCTAATCAACTTGATAAAATTGACTATATTTTCCTAAGTTTAAAGGTTAGCTAAAGTTGACATATATTTCTTGGAACCTGTTGAGTTTATGGAATAGATTACAGATCATCTCTACATACTATAAACTAATAGATGAAGACGAAAGTTAAACTCCTCCGGGGCTACTGCCGGTCCCAATCCCGGGTAAAGGAGGAGGGTTGGGCATGGGGTTAGTGACCCCATCCCGTAGAAAACCAACTCGCTAACCAAAAAAAGTTCGACTTGTCATACCACATTAGCACAGAGATGCAGCTATGGATTCAAATCCCATAGTGGTAGAGGTAGTAAGAGTATAAACAGTAATCGGACAGATTAGGGTTTGAAGATGTTATTCAGTGAAATAAATTTGAAAGGAGAAAAAGATAAAGACATGAGGAATTCAGAAGATTAGAATTTGGTAGAACACAAAGAGTGGATGTGTAATGAACAGAACACGACTGGTTGGGGACAATCGAATGTATTTAAGCAAAGATTACAGACTATCTCGGTAAATTCTGATAACCAAACAATGAACAGTCAATTTGCAAATTAATAACCAATTGTTTCAATCTTCACTGTTTCTTCTCTAATTCCATTGTTCATGCATTTTCCAAACGATTGCGCTTCATTTCAGTTCTTTGCTCATCGGTCTTCTGCGAAAATACATTCTATGTCTGACCCACGCCATATACTACTTATATGGATATAAGTAGACAACACCACAGATGTACCTTAACCATTGCAAACGATTTTGAGCAGTGTCATTCAAGGTCTCTAACCATCGATCGTTATCATCTCGCGAATCCCAACCACATTTTGGTCTGGCCGCCCCTAGCTTTCTTCCAACCTACTCCTACACCATGAAACATTGCACGTCGGGGCAGTCGGTGGTCGGGCATACGTAACATATGTCCCAGCCATCTTAACTGATGAAGTTTCACTACTTCAATCGATTTGCCATTCTTACCTAGCACCCGTTTCCTAGCAACTGCATGTATTGAATAAACAATTGTTTTGGAAACATTCTGCAGGAGAATAGATTTCTCACAACACACACGCACATATTATATATGAATAATTGTAAGTCTAAGAAATTTAGATCTATATCACAGGTACAAAAAACACCAACATTGAAGAAAAACAATTTAGAAACATTCCAGTGATTTGAGAAATAACATCAAGTTACTTATAAGTAGACAATATATTAGTTTAAAATATAATTCAATCGTAAGGATAAATGTTGTATAATCTAATGACGAAACGGTCGTCCAGTGCTTCCAAGTTTTCCATGGTGTTCTAGCTTCAATTAACTTATGATTTCAACTATATAAAAAGAAAATTACTAAAATCTCCACAAAACCCCACTTCTGACATACCTCGTTAGCACAACAAGATCAACACCGAATCCATAAAAGTAGCTAATTTAGTAGTGGTAGTATATAAAAGATAGGTTGTATATAAGAACATAGTATAGCAAGGAAGAACGTTATGAAGCAATTTTAGTCTCAAGGTTTAAGGGAAGATAAAGAGTGCATACACACACGCCATTGTGATCGATTCTCAGCCATGTCACCCAGAGTCTCCAACCATTGGTTACGATAGTTACGCGGACCCCAACCAAGTAGTCTGCACCTACCAACATGACTTAGACTGGAAGTTAGTGACTTTATGTTTTGGTTTAGCCACACCGAACTCTCTTTCAACCATCTCCAACATTGCACGTTGTGGTAGTCGGTGTTCAGGCATACGTAACACGTGGCCCAACCATCTCAGTCGATGAAGATTCATCACCTCATCAACTGATTTACCATCATTGCCTAATACCCTGCACCTAAACCCACTATTACTTACCCGGTGATCCCAGCAGATGCGAGCAATATTTCTAAGGCATTGTAGAAAAACACATTTTTCAAAATCAACATAAGTAGATTTTGATTTCACTTGCAAGTAATCGATAAAAACCCGATAAACTTAAGCTTCCATCTACCTAGTTAAAATTTATTCGTAAAATATATTTACAAACTTTGAGGGAACAATCCCGTTGAGTGAGAAAGTTCCCTTGAAAACTTGATACAAGAAGTGGAATACGAGCTATATTAAGCATGGTTATGTATCAAGCATACGGATTTAGCAGTTCAAACCACTTGAGTGGATAAATGGATGGAGTGAGAATTTGATTTGTAAGTCAAATCAATGTATATATTATTGTCTGAATGTATACATTCAAACATTTACATATATATAAAAATGAAAGACGGGTTAGACCCGATAATTAGTCGCCCAAATAAACTAATGGGACTATGAATGACACTTAATTTTATAAAAGTTGAGTATTAAATCAGGCCCCAAATGCCCTGGTACGGTCGAGAGTGAAGAGGGCTCTCCCTCCCTCTCAAAATGCTTTCACATAGCCACGCGTATACAGCCTCTACCAGGGAAGTCCTACTAACTGCCCTTTCGTGGCGGGGTTGTTTACGAAATCGACTGTACGGCGCTTTAACCGGCTTGGTGGACACGGAAAGTTCACCTAGGAGAGTTGGAAAATCCTGATTCCAAACCAGTGGTGTACATGGGCTGCAGTATCCTGAGGGAACAAATGGCGTATGAATCGATCATTGGTCACCGGCTACCATGGGACTACATCATCTCACGATGTTCCACTGCCCTGTGGACCAGACCTTTAGGTCAAAGACTGAGTGTGTGGCCTCCTAAGAAAACTACCTGCTTCAGTTTGGGCACCTGGTCACATACAAATTAAATGAGATTTGTGTGGTGCATATGTATCTGGTGTCTCTTTGTACCAATATTTATGTGTTCAAATAAATAACTAAATAAAGTCCAGTCAACAAGCCCACGGAATTGTGACGCTGCTATAAATGTATATCTCAGCTTCCTACTTATTTGCAACAGTTCGTGTAAGTCCGGTTAATTTGATGACAGCTTTCGTCATAAATTAACATCAACTAGGAAATATCATTCGGTTTGGCCTGCCTCAAAACCGTGCACTTCCTCCATTTTTATTTCATTTTCTCAGAGAAATGCTTCAAGGAGTAACATTTTCTTTGTCTAAAATCTTAAGGATTTACCTGGAAATTTAATTATCAACTTGCAATAAGCGAGTTCATCTTCCGCCTTTCAAACAGTAAGTACATTATAGCAACAATTTGCTTTGTATTACTTTACTTTTTTCCGACTATACGTCAGCTTCTAAGTTATTTTTAACTGATTGATAGATTTGAACATTTAGCTTAATATACCATGATATTAAATCACTAGATTACATTACTGCTTATACTCTTACTACTTCTACCACCATGGGATTTGAATCGACAACTGTATCTCTGTGCTAACGTGGTATGGTAACTCGAATTGATGTACGTACAAACGTACGAAGTTCTAAGTCGTAAATGACTGACTGACTTACACTGATCAGAGTGTTTAGATTAACAATAAACGGCAAAAAATGGATGCAGCGATGTTAGATTATTAATATTTTTGTACATATCAAGTTTTCGTTAAACACTTGGAATATATCGACATCAATGTCACCCCCCTACAGAACAGATACTATTGCTTATTATCTCAACTCTTCGATGAAAAAAGAACCATAATTCCATGATAGAGAATATAATTTATGAATAAAAAAAGGATCCAACGATTCCAAAACAAAACAGAAAATATACATAGTAATCAAATAAATTACAAGAAATAAATCTCTTGAAGATATTAAATTGTAATTGAGGAAAGAGGAGGAAACTTGAGATAACCATTAGTTTGATGTGAATGCGCGTACATATAATACAAAGATAGGATAAGATAAGACAGAGGAAACATACAATGGATAAGATTATGATTGATTCATATCAGCATTCGTAACTAAGGAACTGTTGTCTTCTACAGGCTTCGATGGGATAGTAATCACATTTCTCGAACGTATCGGTACACGATCAAGATGATTACGATTGAAATGAAATGCTGGAACTACCCATGTGCCGCATACACATGGTTCGCCTAAATAAATTAATGAAAATAATGTTACGTTTTGAATATATATATATATATATATATATATATATATATATATATATATATATCATGAAAAACTTGGTATATTCGTGTAGTACATGTTTTAAACAGTTTGATTAAATCTTCTGTTGTCAAGGTATTACACGTGAAAACGACAAGATATCAAATAGGTTTGGAAAGTTGAAAGTATGGTACATTCATTTAGTTAATAAGCAATAGGTTAAAGCGTTAAGCAGGCTTATTGATGAGAACAAATTATTTTCCCACACAAAGGAGTTCGAGTTAGGGTTTTTTGTAAATTTAAGAACTAGCCTCTGACATCTTTTGTAAAGATTTATTTATTTGAACACATAGATATTGGTACAAGGGGGCACCAGATATATATGCGTCACACAATTACAATGAGAATGGGAAGAGAAAAAGAGGTAAGGTGCACATAAGAAAAAAAAGAAAAATAACAACCACAGATTAGTGTTTGTGAGTGTAATAACAATAATAATGATGGGGGGGGAACAGAAATGTATAGTCAGAAGCATTCTTTCAGTTGAGGAAGTTACAACCACGTTTTATGAAGAATGTAAAAGGTTACAGCAGGATCGCCACTGGCTTCTATTCTGAACCATATCTGAATCTGATAACAACTTAAGTCATTGTGTTGCACCACCTTTCGGACCCCAGCCAAGGAGTCGTGAAGGACCAACAGAAACTAGCCATTTGCAGCTTTCTTTCATACCACAACATCATGTCATACAGTGACCACCTCACCGCTTTTCCCAACCAGTCCCAGAGTCGGTAAATAATGCACCACGAGAAATTCTCTGGGACGACATTTGTAGAACATATACAAGTCACCAAAGTCAATGTAACAATATAGTGACATCAATTAAATTATCATATCTGCGCCCCAACACACAATGCCGAACCTCTGCATTACTAACATGGTGTTGCCACAGGATCTCAGCAATCCTTCGGAGACAACGATTACCAAACACACAGAGTCGTCTAACATCCTCAACTCGGAGAGGCCAGGTTTCACAAGCATAGAGCGAGACAGCTCTCGCCAATGCGTTGTAGATCCGACTTTTTACAGCCAGACTAACATCACGAAGGTGCCAAAGATGGCCCAGATTGGCATAAGCCGCTCTGGTTTTCATTATACGTTTATTTATTTATTTATTTAAACACATATATATTGGTACAAAAGGGCATCAGGTACATATGCGCCACACAAAATAATGAAAGTAGGAAGAGAAGGGATGGAAAGATAAGGCGGACTGAAATGTACAACCAGAAGACTCTTTCAGTTAAGAAAGTTAGAACCACTCTTTATGTAGAAAGTAAAAGAAGGTTGCAGCAGGATTGCCACTGGCTTCTATTCTCAGCCATATCTGATAACGTCTCTAGCCACTGTGTTGCACCATCTCTCGGACCCCAGTCAGGGAGTCGTGAAGGACCAACAGAAGCCAGCCCTTTTCAGCTTTCTTTCATGCCACGACACCATATCATACACTGACCTCCTCTCCGCTTTTTCCAACCAGTCCCAGGGTCGGCAAATAATGCACGACGTGGAAGTCTCTGGGACGACATTCGTAAAACATGTCCAAGCCACCGAAGTCGGTGTTTCAAGATGGTGACACCAATTGAATTATCGTCTCGGCGCCCGAACACACGATGCCGAACCTCTGCATTACTAACATGGTGTTGCCACTGGATGTCAACAATCCTTCGGAGACAACGATGATCAAACACAGAGAGACGTCTAACATCCTCAACTCGGAGAGGCCAGGTTTCACAAGCATAGAGCAAAACTGCTCTCACCGACGCGTTGTAGATCCGATCTTTTACAGCCAGACTAACATCACGAAGGCGCCAAAGATGGCCCAGATTGGCATAAGCCGCTCTGGCTTTCATTATACGTGCATCAATCTCATCACTCACGCCACCACCAGCACTTATATAGCTACCTAGATACACGAACTTCTCAACTACTTCGATCTGCTCACCATCCAGGGTGAGTACAGGATGAGAATCCTGCCAGTCTTGTAGGAGTACTTTCCACTTGGAGGGTGCAAAGCACATGCAGTACCTGCGGACACTGATTGCCAACTGATTAAGTGCTGATTGCATGCCTTGGGCATTATCGCACAGTAAGACAATATCATCAGCATACTCAATGTCGACAAGTCTTTCTTAAGGCAACAGATCCACACCGCCATTACTTACATCTATCAGAACTGTTTCCAGAATGTCACCGATGGGAAGGTTGGAGGGGAATGGTGACATTGTGTAACCCTGTCTAACCCCACTGCTTGAATGGAACAGTAGAGGGAGGTGGTTGTATGCCCTCACTCCGTCTGAGGTGTTCGTATATAGGGCTTTAATAAACATTTCAGGCATACCTTCAACATATATATATATATATATATATATATATATATATATATATAACTCGGTCAGTCAGTCAGCCACAACGTAGGACCAGGCACATATATGCATCGGTCCAAGTAGCCATACCTCGTTAGCACAACAACATGAACACCGGATTAATAGTCACAACGTAGAACTTCGTACGTACGTACATCAGTTCGAGTTGCCATACCACATTAGCACAGAGATGCAGTTGTCGATTCAAATCCCATAGTGGTAGAAGTAGTAGGAGTATAATCAGAAATCCAAAAGATTAGGGTTTGAAGAAATTATTGAAGGAGTATAGTACAGTGAAATAAATTTGGAAAGAGAAAAAGATAAAGACATGAGGAATTCAGAAGATTAGAATTTGGTAGAACACTAAGAGTGGATGCACCTTCGCCATTGCAAACGGTTTTGAGCCATATCATTCAAGGTCTCTAACCATCGGTTGCTGTCATCTCGCGAATCCCAACCAGGTAGTCTACACCTACCAACATGGCCCAGTCCACTTGTCAATGACTTCATTGATTTGTGCCACGTTTTGGTCTGGCCAACCCTAGCTTTCTTCCAACCTACTCCTACACCATGAAACATTGCACGTCGGGGCAGTCGGTGGTCCGGCATACGTAACACATGTCCCAGCCATCTTAACTGATGAAGTTTCACTACTTCATCAATCGATTTGCCATCCCTACCTAGTACTCGTTTCCTAACAACTGCATTACTTACTCGGTGGTCCCAGGATATACGAGCAATGCGTCGAAGACACCTATGATCGAACACTAGTAGCCTACGAATATCCTCTACTCTTATTGGCCATGTTTCACTGCCATAAAGTAGGACGGAGCGAACTGCTGCACAGTAAACCCGTCCTTTGTTTGCTAGACGGATATCTCGCCTACGCCATAAATGACGCAAGTTGACGAAAGCTAGACGAGCCTTCTGTATCCGTGCTGAGATTTCGTCACATACCAGACCACAAGGGCTGATAAGACTCCCAAGATAAGTGAAGTGGTCTACACGCTCAACTACTTCACTCCCTATCATTAGTTCAGGTGTCGCTGCAACCCAATCCTGAAGTAACATTTTGCATTTCGAGGAGGAGAATCGCATCCCGAACATGCCTGCATAGTTGCTTATAGTGGTCAGAAGACTCTGTATGTTGTCAGCGTCTTCACCGAGTAAAACTATGTCGTCGGCGTATTCTAAGTCAACAAGTGAGCCTCCTGGTAAAAGTTCAACTCCTGGAGGTTTAGCTGATGGAAGTGCTATCTCTAAAAGTATGTCAATGACAAAGTTAAACAAGAATGGGGAGAGTGGACAGCCCTGACGAACGCCACTTGTGGTAATCAGTTCTGATGACAGTTCGCTATAGGCTCTAACTCGATCAGTTGTGTTCGAGTAGAGAGCCTTTATGAGGTTAATGTACTTCTTTGGTACTCCTTTCACTGACAAACACTGCCATAGAACCTCACGATCAACGGAGTCAAATGCCGCCTTAAGGTCAAGAAATACAGTCTTAAGGTTTAAGGGAAAATAAAGATTGCATTCACACACGCCATTGTGATCGATTCTCAGCCATGTCACCCAGAGTCTCCAACCATTGGTTACGATAGTCACGCGGACCCCAACCAAGTAGTCTGCATCTACCAACATGACTTATACTGAAAGTTAGTGACTTCAAGCACTGATGCCACGTTTTGGTTTGGCCGTTCCTAACTCTCTTCCAACCATCCCCTACACTAGTCAACTTTGCGCGTCGTTGTAATCGGTGTTCAGGCATACGTAACACGTGGCCTAACCATCTAAGTCGATGAAGATTCATCACCTCATCAACTGGTTTACCATGATTTCCTAATACCCTGCGTCGAACACCACTATTGCTTATCCGGTGATCTCAGAAGATGCGAGCAATATTTTTTTCAAACCTCATTATGCTTCAGTTAACATAACTGAAGCATAATGAGATTGGAAAAAATATAAGCGCTCCCGAAACAGGAAATTATATCAATAATGGGGTTATTCACTGTTGTTTCGAGATACCTATGGATGTGTAAACTTCCTGAGATGAGAACTTTGAATAACAGAAATTGAATGGTCCAAAACCCAGTATTCAGATAAAACATTTTCTTTAAAATCTTGACATTTCATGAGTCTTTTTCGCTTTAGCTTTATGCATGTTTTTAGTTTATCAGAATTTCTTTTTAATCCTAAGCTGTCTTAAAATAAGGTTCCTCTGACCGATCCACTTTTGTGCAATATAAGTTCTCACAAATTTCATGACAGACATTAGTAATTAAGACCTTTCGAATCGATAGCAAAAAAACTTTATGGTTTGACTATCTTCAGTTATTTTTTAACACACCACTACATCGGTAAATACTGAGAATCAGAATGACAAAAAAATTCTCAGATATTCCAGCTAGTAAAAGTTAGTCACATCATTCACCATCGGAATAACATGTTTTTACCCAAGTACCACTGTAGTGAACAGAACACTGGTTGGGGACAATCGAATGTATTTAAGCAAAGATTACAGACTATCTCAGTAAATTCTGATAACCAAACAATGAACAGTCAATTTGCAAATTAACAACAATTTGTTTCAATCTTCACTGTTTCTTCTCTTATTCAATTGTTCATGCATTTTCCAAACGATTGCGCTTCATTTCAGTTCTTTGCTCATCGGTCTTCTGCCAAAATACATTCTATGTCTGACCCACACCATATACTACTTATATGGATATAAGTAGACAACACCACACTCGTCCCCCCTTTAAAGCATTCGTTCATGCGGTGGTTCTGCTCGCCACGCCGCTATCTTCTTCCACTGCAGTCTGTGCCAAACTCTCCGTCAGAATGTCGAGTCTGCGGCGCGCTGACCTCCATAGCTCCGTCGACCTGCCGGGGCACCAACATCCGCATCCACCCGGCACCTGGGACGTTCAACACCCGTACTCCACCGGCCTGCTGAGCCATCTACATCCGATGTCCGCCCAGCAGCCGCACGTCCCACTGCTCCTCTCCGTCGACAGCACCCGCTACAGCCAACGCCGCCCCGCCAGAACACTCCACTCGACGCCACCTCTCCTCACCAGACTGCCCCAACTAGCACCTCCACTCCAGACCCGCAGCGGCGTCCGCAGAACAGCACCCTTCCTCCTCCTGGTTGGCAGCGACACCAAATGTAGCGAACAAAACACTAGTTGGGGACAATCGAATGTATTTAAGCAAAGATTACAGACTATCTCAGTAAATTCTGATAACCAAACAATGAACAGTCAATTTGCAAATTAACAACAATTTGTTTCAATCTTCACTGTTTCTTCTCTTATTCCATTGTTCATGCATTTTCCAAACGATTGCGCTTCATTTCAGTTCTTTCCTCATCGGTCTTCTGCCAAAATACATTCTATGTCTGACCCACGCCATATACTACTTATATGGATATAAGTAGACAACACCACACCACTACCATTCTGTACTTAGCCACAACTGTTTCCAGTAAACATTTACCCCAAGTGTGTGGCAAACAAACATTAAATTAATCTCATAGTTCTGACGGCTAAATTAATAAATTTTATTAGTAACAACAAGCTTACCACACCAATTGAAAGAGCCAACTTTAGCATTGCATCCAGGACAATAAAGCTACAATGAGAAAAAGGAATGTACAGAAGCACATAAATTCGGCTTTCTGTTAGTGTTTTTAGGAATATTCGTTATGACACTATTCAGCTGCCAAAATCAAGGAAAATGGTGGGATTTGAACAATTGAGATACTGCTCTATTAGAAGGCATGGAGCCGCTATCGTAGTTTACACATTACCCCGACTAAATTTATTACAATAACTAACATAGCTAAAAGCAAAAGGGATTGAAGAACTAATGCTATTGGATAGAGACTAACAGTCAGAATCAGTGCGAAAATGAAATGGAATTTTCCAGATTCACTGAGTACGCACATATATTTCAATCGGAAGAGCAATAGCATACGAAAGTCTGGTAAAATATAATACCGAAACAATTCGGCAACTACCAACAGTTACATGTATCGCGCTTTGGGCCACTCATTATTTGGTTAGAAGAGATCTTAAGCATATATTTAGACCGAACCTTGAGATGGTGCTTGAGACAGAAAACCAGAAAATGAATATCAAACTGGACAATACCACAAAGATGAGTAAACTAATAGCATTGGGATAAACGCGGTTTTTGTGACCTCTGTGTTTGTATTAGGATATGAAACCTTCCAATTCCAAATAGTTCATAATTAAATGTTACTTTAGTGATGAAGCGAGTATGGACAACGGAGGGACACCAGTAATAAATTGGTTCATTCTATTCAACCAAAAAAATATTTTACAAAATTTTACAGAAATATATCCTAAATATTTTATTAGAAATGAATCACTGTCAAGTTTCATTTGGACAATCAACCAATCATATCATCGAAATGTGTCAGCCAATAAAATTAAAATAATTCATCCTAGAGAACAGCCAATCACTACAATTCATCATGTATCAGTCGTAAATAGTTGACCAATAGGATAACAAAGGGGTCCGATTCATTAAATATTATCTGACCGATAAGACCAAACTTTTTCGAGTTTACTTCAACTAAAAAATTGAATCGCCTGAAGTAAACAAACTTGTTGCTAATTTAAATCAGATAAGAATTAAATATTCTTAAAGAAAATGTCAAATAATAAACTCAGAATATAAACACATATCTGATGATATATTGAAAGCAGTTAACAAAACAAATATAGATAGCTTTGTAAGCAAAGATGGATAGTGGCTAGCAGTGGAATTCAGGACGCACGTTTCGTCCTATTTGACGATGCTTGCGAATTAAGGCTATATCGAGGCAATATGCACAGTATGCACATATGCCAATTAGAGACTGACCAGTTGAAGTCCTAAAAATCAATTGGAAGATTCAAACAAACAATACTAAGTGAATTAAAATATAGATAGCTTCCAGTCGACTTATATGACTGAATGCTTATGAATATCACCTTAAAGATAACTCTGATCAAAAACTGACATCAACTGAAAGACCAATGAAATGACAAGGAAAAGGCAGCTGTGATAGGTAACAGTAGTCAACTGATCAGACTTATCAAACAAACAGGCATTAAAAATACGGCTGTTAATGAGACTATCTCAGTAAAACACGGGACCACTCTTCACTGTCAATTCTGGAGATCGGAATGATAGGCAGAACAACTTAGGGAAAAGTTCAACTGGTCTCCAGCCACACTTCACTTACTTACTATCCAGAACCGAGCTTAGTAAGGTTGATAAGACTATAAGCAATCTAAAGCGAGGGAGAGCAGCAGAGCCTGATGGACTAACCCCTTAGATTTCTAAGAATGATGGTCTATTTTTAGCAGTTGGGTTAACTGATATCTTAGCTAGAATCTGGGAATTGGACGTAATCCCATCTGACCGTTCTCGATTGCTGATTGTTAGTCTATAAGAAAGGACTTAAGTCATCTTATGGTTATCACTGAGGAATCAGTTTGAATAATAGTGTCGAAAATATTTGTCTCTATAATGCTTCGACGTTTAACTAGAACTCGTGAAGGGCAAACCCGAAAATACCAGGCTGCTTTAAGTATCATAGATATACCTTTAGAAATAACAATATTATTGCTTGACTCTTCGGGGCTGGTCTACCAGAAGATTCACTTACTGACTTAGAATGTTCAGAAGATATAGTTCTGTTCAATGAAGACACTAACAAAATTCAGTCTTCTGACCACCTTAAGTAACAATGCAAGTATGTTTGGGACACGATTCTTTCTTGCCAAATGCAAAAGGTTGCTTCATGATTGGTTTGCATCATCACCCGGAATAATCATAATGAATAAGGCAGATGAACGCATCGTCCGCTCCACTTATCTTGGGAGTCTCATCAGTCCTGATGATCTGGTGACTGACGAAATCTGCACAAACATTGAGAGCTCGATTGGCTTTTGCCAACTTGCATCACTTTTCGTGCAGGTGAGATATCACTTCACCAAACAAATGACGGATTCACTGAGCAGCAGTTCGATGCGTTCTGCTTCATGGGTGTGAAATATGACCATTACGAATAGAGCATATTGGTAGGTTACTAGTATTCGATCATAGACGTCTTCGAAGCATTGCTCATGTGTTTTGGGACCACGGAGTAAGCAATGAATGGGTTAAGAATAAGCTGCTATGTAAGTGTGGCAAATCGATTGATCAGGTAGTGATTCTGCATCAGTCGAGATGACAGGGACATGTGTTACGTATGCCCAACCACTGCCTACTTCAACGAGCGATGTTGTTTGGTGTAGAAGCAGGTTGGAGCACCCAAAACAAAACATGGAGTCACTGACAATTGGATTGAGCCATGTCAATAGGTACATACTACCTGGAGGGTAGCGCAATTGCATCCATTCTTTTTTTTCTCCTAAATCCTGTGATTCTGAACTCCTCATAACTAATTTTTCTTTTATTTCGCTAATTTATATTTTCTTTCCGAGTCGTGTCTTCGATGTCTAATACTTTTACTACCACTGATACTATTAATACCTCTACAATTCTGGGATATAATGTGACAATATGATCTCTCTGTGCTAATGTAGTATGGCAACTTGAATCGATGTACATAAGTACCAGGTACTACGTTGTAATTGGCTGCCTAATACTAAAAAGACAATGAACCATGTCCGAAACATCTATTAAAGATGGTTCGAAGTATAAATACTGTGGAGGAATAACAAACAAACTAATGTAAAAGCTGGCGGTTTACAAAACTTCATAATCTTAAACAGTGAAATAACGGGGGTTGCATACCTTTCCTTGAACATCACTAGTGTTGTGCATTGTCCATTCCAATGGGTCACAGAACAATTCATTTTTATCACATTGTAGAGGAGAATCATTCAATGAAACACCTTTGATTAAGACACTGGATACACTATCAGTATTCTTGTATTTTGTAGAATTTATGAGAGGATTAGGTGTTGTCTCCGGTTTTTGATGAATACGTAACTGATTCGAATTGAATAACACTTGTCTACAAGGATAGTTTCATATTTTGAAGAAAATATACCTGCATTTTCTACATCTAAAACTTGAAGGTGTATTGTTCAACTGGTAGTCCGTTTGATTTTCTATAAGATCACCATTATAATCTATTAAATAGAGGGATTAGAAATAGCACTTATAAACAACAAACCGGTAAAAACTGAGAAGGTTCTTTTCGTCATATATTGTTGAAATAATGGAGAATCACGATTGACAGTCCAATTCATAGTATGAAACAATTTCAACTGATTAATAAATCCATTATTAGGACTAAATATCGACAGAAATAACCATAAAACATTCAATAAATATAAAAACTGTAATTACAAAATACTCCGTTTTCTTGAAACAAAATTATAAGCCTCTTCATAGGATAAATGATTTCGACGCATAAGATAGGCGATAACAACACTGGCGCTGCGAGATACACCCATAGCACTATATTCCGTTTATCCGTTTTTAATTTATAAAAAAAACTAGACCACTATGTATTTACTCGGCTTACCAGTGAACCAAAATATTTGAGTTATTTTTTATACTTTCATCAATAAAATTTAAAGCATCTTCAAGAATTTCCAATAAATCTTGAGATGGCTCATCGCGCAGGTATAAGAACTTCATGTTAAATCCTTTGAATATATTGCAGTCTAATGGAAGGATATCTAATGTTAAAATTGATATTATTCCATTTCTTTTTAAGACTGAAATATTTTCTGCAAATGGCATAGGTCCAAGCCATAGACCTGGAATAATCTCATCCATATTTATTATCAATCACTAAAAAAGAACACAACGAATACAAACGATGATTTGGAATTCAACAGAATCTAGGAAATTCAGAAATCATTTATTATGCATACGTTTGGCGTGAAAAAACTCCTAATACCGTGTAGTCAATTCGATTACTAACACTAACCATATCATAAATTGATTTGGATTATTATTCTGGTTATGATTATGGTCTGAATGATGCACTACTACACTTACGTTTAAATGTAAGCAAATTATAGCTCTCACAAGTCATTCATTGAAATTTCGAAGCCTTAGTAAAGTTACTCAGCTATTGGCTAACACAAATTCATTTGAAATATCACCAGGTTATTTAAAAGAAATAAGGCATTTGATAGCGTGGACAGGACGACACTATGGAGGCTTCTTCGACACTACGGAGTGCCTGAGAAGATAGTCAATATCATACGGAACTCCTATGATGGACTAAACTGCCAAATCGTCCACGGATGACAACTCACCGACTCGTTTCAAGTAAAGAACGGTGTGAGGCAAGGTTGCTTACTCTCACCCTTTCTCTTTCTCCTGGTCATCGACTAGATCATGAAGACGTCAACATCTGGAGGAATGCACGGGATACAGTGGACAGGCAGGATGCAGCTTGACGATTTAGACTTCGCGGATGATCTGGCTCTTCTATCACAAACGCAACAACAAATGCAGGAGAAAACGACCAGTGTAGCAGCAGCCTCAGCAGCAGTAGGTCTCAATATAAACAAAGGGAAAAGCAAGACTCCGATACAATACAATATGCACCAATCAAATTACACTTGACGGAGAAGCTTTGGAGAATGTGGAAACCTTTACATATCTGGGCAGCATCATTGATGAACACGGTGGATCAGAAGCAGATGTGAGGGCAAGGATCGGCAAAGCAAGAGCAGCATACTTACAACTGAAAAACATCTGGAGCTCAAAACAATTGTCAACCAACACTAAGGTTAGAATTTTCAATACAAATGTCAAGATAGTTCTATTGTATGGGGCGGAGACATAAGGAACTACGAAAGCCGACATCCAGAAGATACAAGTGTTTATTAACAGTTGTCTACGCAAGATACTTCGGATCCGATGGCCAGACACTATCAGAAACAAGTTACTGTGGGAGACAACAAATCAGATTCCAGTGGAGGAAGAAATCAGGAGGAAGCGCTGGAAGTGGATTGGGCACACTTTGAGGAAATCACCCGATTGCGTCACAAGACAAACCCTCACATGGAATCCTGGAGGCCAAAGGAGAAGAGGAAGACCAAAGAACACATTACGCCGAGAAATAGAGACAGACATGAGAAGAATGAACAAGAACTGGATAGAACTAGAAAAGAAGGCCCAGGATAGAGTGGGTTGGAGAATGCTGGTCGGTGGCCTATGCTCCATTGGGAGTAACAGGCGAAAGTAAGGGTTGAAAATCATGACTCAAGGTGTCCGAATCGACTACCAAGACAAATGAGCCACAATCTCACAAGGACTAACCATTCTGGTTAAGATTTGCACGAATTCAATCTTCCATTTCAACCATTTTTCAAGACGTTCTTATAAATATTATTACCAATTTATCTATCCTAGTGAAAGCTGATATACCGACTTGAGTGATAGAGATTCAAACGATTAAATGACACTGATGACTTTTTTATCACAATCGGTTTGCTACATGAATGTTCGCAGCCTACAAAATAAGATGGCGGAGCTCAAGACAATGATGGACATAGAAAACCCTGATGTCATTGCTATCTCAGAAACATGATTAACGTCAGAACTGTATGATAGTGAAATTCAATTGATTGGTTTTTCTACCCAGTAGAGCTGATAGACTAAACAGTAGGGGGGGGTAACCTATACATAAAAAGTACCTTAACGATACGAGCTGTCGAGAAAGTAGCACACGACTCAGGGATATGTTAACTGATGCACTGCAGGCTGGAATGTAAACTGCAAGATATTGAATTACTTGCAGTAAATATACCGGATTTACCCCGGTCCACGATGTATAGTAGATGACTTCCTCCCAAGCAAATTGAAGTCCTGGTGCAAAAGGGGTAAAAGCCTTATAGTAGGCGACTTTAATTCACCGTATATAAACTGGAGAAACTTAGAAATATGGTCATCGACAACATTGTATGGTTACAAGTTGTTGGAAACCATAATTACCCTAGCTTTATTCCAGCACATTAGAGATCCCACTAGATATGACTTACAAAACTCCTCATCTCTCATGGACCTAGTCTTTACACACGGTGATGATGTCGGTCAAATGACTTTCATCTTACCTCTGGGGAGAAGTGATCATGCAGTCTGTCAAACAGTTGCCCCGGCCAGTCCTAACATATAGAAGGAAGATATGAAGACGATTAACTATGCAGCATAGGCTGAAAATAAGATAACTGACTCAGGAGCATCAGCACAAGAGGCATGGACTCATTTCAGGCAGTTATACAATCAAGTAACTTAACCATTTATACCCTGGACAGTTACAAAGAAGAAAAAGCACGGCAATTCCTGGATATCCCGGATATTCGACGTTTACTAAGGCAGAAATGTTGGAACATCGCCATCAGCCTTGACACAGAAAGTACGGTAGAACGCTACAGGTTGGTACAAAATACATGTACAATTACAGTCCGTCAAGCTCAGCAGAAATATGAAATGCAGTTGGCGCAAGCTGTAATCAAGCAGCATACGAGGCTTATCTTGTACACATATTACAGAACAAGGATGCAGCATTGGATTCAAAACCTAATCACAGGAGTTGAACTGAAATGATAGAGGATGATCAGGAAAAAGCAGATATGACAAACTATTTCGGGGCAGTTTTCATTCAGGAGTTTCTTCTAAATGAAGAACTAGACCCAAATACAAAGTCAATAAACCATCTGCCCACTATGGACATTGGTTGAGACGATGTACTTAAGACCCTAAGCAGTTTAGACACGGAAAACTCAACAGGACCAGATGAACTGCATCCCATAATCTTGAGACGAATTGCACATTATATTACTGCCTCATTGACTACAATATTCAATATGTCACTTGGTCAAGGTGGGTTACCTGAAGACTGGAGGGATGCAATCGTCACTCCAATACATAAAACAGGACCAAGACAACTTTCATCAAACTACAGACCTGTCAACCTCACCAGTGTTGTAGTTTAAATGCTGGGAAGAATAGTAAACAAGACCATAATGACATCCGTTGAAACCAACAACTTGTTAAACAACGAACACGGTTTCAGAAAAGGTTTATCTTGCACAACAAACCTCCTCATAGCAAGGGAGCAATGGATAGAGGCTCTAGACAATGAAAAATCAGTAGGTGTTGTTTGCATAGACTTCGTCAAAGCGTTTGATAAGGTGCCAACAAATAGACTGCTCTTGAAGCTGAAAAATCTAGGCATTGTTGAACCTTTTCCTAAAATGGCTTATGGATTTCTTGGTAGGTCGTAGACAGTAATTAAGAATAAATTCCAAGTGTTCTACATGGAAGCCAGCACTTAGTGGAGTACCACAAGGCTGTACTAGGTTGCTTACTTTTTGTACTGTACGTAAATGAACTACCAAATATAGTTGGGTCCCAAATGCTACCATACGCTGATGTGAAAAATCTGGCAAGAAATAATAGGAAACGAAGGTGCATGTGCAATTCGGGCAGACTTAGATATTCTGATTAGCTGGTCTAAAAAATGACTGATGCTTATTAATGCAGCCAAGTGTGTCTACATGCACTTTGGGGATACAAAGGTAAATACGTACAGCATAGAAGTGTCTGTACCCGTCAGTCAGTCACAACGTAGAACTTCGTTCGTACGTACGTACATCAGTTCGAGTTGCCATACCACATTAGCACAGAGATGCAGTTGTCGATTCAAATCCTATAGTGGTAGAAGTAGTAGGAGTATAATCAGAAATCCAAAAGATTAGGGTTTGAAGAAATTATTGAAGGAGTATAGTACAGTGAAATAAATTTGGAAAGAGAAAAAGATAAAGACATGAGGAATTCAGAAGATTAGAATTTGGTAGAACACTAAGAGTGGATGCACCTTCGCCATTGCAAACGATTTTGAGCCATGTCATTCAAGGTCTCTAACCATCGGTTGCTGTCATCTCGCGAATCCCAACCAGGTAGTCTACACCTACCAACATGGCCCAGTCCACTTGTCAATGACTTCATTGATTTGTGCCACGTTTTGGTCTGGCCAACCCTAGCTTTCTTCCAACCTACTCCTACACCATGAAACATTGCACGTCGGGGCAGTCGGTGGTCCGGCATACGTAACACATGTCCCAGCCATCTTAACTGATGAAGTTTCACTACTTCATCAATCGATTTGCCATCCCTACCTAGTACTCGTTTCCTAACAACTGCATTACTTACTCGGTGGTCCCAGGATATACGAGCAGTGCGTCGAAGACACCTATGATCGAACACTAGCAGCCTACGAATATCCTCTACTCTTATTGGCCATGTTTCACTGCCATAAAGTAGGACGGAGCGAACTGCTGCACAGTAAACCCGTCCTTTGTTTGCTAGACGGATATCTCGCCTACGCCATAAATGACGCAAGTTGACGAAAGCTAGACGAGCCTTCTGTATCCGTGCTGAGATTTCGTCACATACCAGACCACAAGGGCTGATAAGACTCCCAAGATAAGTGAAGTGGTCTACACGCTCAACTACTTCACTCCCTATCATTAGTTCAGGTGTCGCTGCAACCCAATCCTGAAGTAACATTTTGCATTTCGAGGAGGAGAATCGCATCCCGAACATGCCTGCATAGTTGCTTATAGTGGTCAGAAGACTCTGTATGTTGTCAGCGTCTTCACCGAGTAAAACTATGTCGTCGGCGTATTCTAAGTCAACAAGTGAGCCTCCTGGTAAAAGTTCAACTCCTGGAGGTTTAGCTGATGAAAGTGCTATCTCTAAAAGTATGTCAATGACAAAGTTAAACAAGAATGGGGAGAGTGGATATCCCTGACGAACGCCACTTGTGGTAATCAGTTTTGATGACAGTTCGCCATAGGCTCTAACTCGACCAGTTGTGTTCGAGTAGAGAGCCTTTATGAGGTTAATGTACTTCTTTGGTACTCCTTTCACTGACAAACACTGCCATAGAACCTCACGATCAACGGAGTCAAATGCCGCCTTAAGGTCAAGAAATACTACTATTGTGGGACGTCTGAATTTGTGTCTATGTTCTAGGACCTGACGTAGGGTGAATATCTGGTCTATGCAACCACGTACAGGTCGAAAACCAGTCTGGTCTTCTCTAGTCTGCTGTTCATAAGCTTTGGTTAGGCGACCTAGTATTATTGAAGCTAATATTTTAGACACTATATTAGTCAAACTGATTCCTCTGTGATTGTCACAGGAGGACTTTTGTCCTTTCTTATAGACTGGCACA